TGTCGTAACGTGGTTTTTGGTTTTTGTTCTTTTCTAATTCAGTTTTCTACTTTGTATACACTATATTTAGTCCTGCACAACAGTGTAATAAAAAGCCAATAAACTGTGAAAAACGCAACCTTTATCATGGTCTTCAAGATTTTGATGATTGTTAGCTAACCTTATGTAGGTAAACGTCTGTTATTCTACGAATATAAACACACGGTTTGGTGGATTGGTGGAAAAGACGGGGCACGGGGCACCGAGGTCGAGTTGATGGGGTGCTGGGGTGTGTGGAAGACAAGGTTTGCCCACCGGGAACTGTGGAAAACACAGGTAATGCCCAGGCCATGCCCAGAGCTCAAACGTCGATGGCCTTGGGTCTGTCATGGTTACTCGAATCTTTAAGCGGACGGACGTTTAATTTTGCAACAGGAATTTCCAGCCCTAATACGGCACCCAAAGGGTTTTAGTGACATGTTACTTTATCATCACTGGTACGTTTTCCACCCTGTATTTTCCACAGGTCCCGGCACCTCATGTGTTCCGCAGACCCCCGCACCCCGGCACTCCTTGCCCTGTCTTTCCCACCATACCGAAACAGAGGAACTTTCAATTATTCTTAACATATACACTACGGCACTTGTGTGCTGATCAGAAGGAACTGGCATTCAAAGACAGAAATCTTTGTAGTCCAGCTTAGGACTTAATAAATTTACCACGTGTTTTGCTTCAAATGTTACAACTACACTCGACACAGAATAAAGGGCTTGCGCTGGCTTGGTTGCTGAGATCTAATTTTGGCACACTTATTGAGCGCAACAAAAATCAACTCAGTTGGTGGTGCCCGCTTGGTAAGCTGGGGTCCAGGTATCTGGCTAACCGCGTTCAAACGTTTTTATGTAATCACATTCGCCAGGCCAGCCCAAACCACTTCGTGCCAAAATTGAGCTTGCCACCGTCTTGTGTAATATTGGGCTAAAAAGTCATTAGGGAAAATCGTACTAGCCCATTGTACCGCGGCAGCCGCCTTATGTAATTCGGCCCCTAAGAGATGCAACAGCAAAGTCCTCGGTGTTTGAAAGCAGACCCCCAAAGTTTATGGACTCTCAGGGACTGGTGCACTGCCACTACTCTGTAGCCATGGATATGATTGACCTGGAGGCGGGTACTGTGGCTCTCCTTCTTTTCCAGGATAGGGTGGTGGAGACTCTAATGGATGTGGGTACTCTGGGGGTGGTGGGTTTGTTGGGACTGGAGCATACCCTACTGAAGGAGACGAGGTGTTTCCTGCAGGTTGAAGAGGTTCCTGTGTAGAACGGGAAGCTGAATTAGTGGTAGTCGACATTGGATATTCCACAGCAGCTCCTCTGTTTGGTGTCCTTTTTCGTTTTATGTGATGAACAGCACAGCCAACCATTGTAATTAAGACTACCACACCGACAATGACGCCAAACGATACCGCCAAAGTAGCTAAAAAAAAACAAACAACCAACTTAGCAGAACTCATCTGAGACCTAACATGTAATTCGATATAGTAACAGTTTTGGGTACACGAGTCTTAGCTCTTGACGATAACTTGAAATGAAGCCTTTCAAAACCAAATTAAAATTCATTTCACACGGCCACCCCTTTGCAAGGTTTGGGACCGTTATACATGTAAGGTGGTTTACTTGTTGTGGAAATAAGATGGAATTCTAGGGTGTTGTACTGTCTAAGTTTTAACATTATCAACTTACGGAATTCCTTCACAGCTTTGAATGTGGCCTTGAATCCCCGGCGTGGTGTATCATTTTCACTATCACCTTGGAAACGAATGTACATATGCTGACCGCTTGACCTCAAGGGCTTTGGAATTACACTTCCACAGAAACTGTGTATCGTATTACCTTCTCCGGAGTCTCCATCATGAATCTGCACGTAATCCCCACATCCATACTCGCCAGACTTTGGAGCATCCAAGTCAAATCTCTCAAAGCTGAGCTCTACTTTCCTCCCTTCCGGGACAGTGATGAGCCATTCACAGTACAATTGTGGGGGGTAGTACTCGGGGCTTTGTAGAGTTCCATACGAACCAGTTAATTTCAAATTCAGATTGTTGGTGTTTCCTGGTAGACAATGCTCCTCATCGTAAACTAAGAACAAAGGTACATATACGATTAACGAAGTAACGTTGTTACAGGTCTGGACAGGAAATGGTAAGGGGAAAAATTCTTCAAGGTCAGGGAAAAGTCAGGGAATTTTATTTTACAACATTTAGAGGAAGCCACACCAGCCTTAAAGGCAGGTCCTCCATTCTGGTCGAATTGGAATTTGGAAGTGTTGGTTATTCAGGAAGAAGGGAGTTTTGCTGGAGTAGAGAGAAGTCTCACGAAAGCCCTCGCAGCAAGGCGAGGACCAACAAGAAACTCAACCCAGATATAACAGTGAGCCAGAATCGACTCAACACTGTAAATTCCCTGCTCCGCACCATGCCTTTCAATAAAACGGGATCTCTACAGTTCAAAAGCTACCTTGATGAAACGAAACAAAGAAAATGGAGCAAAATCTACTAATCACATCACACAGGCCATTCAAGAGATCTTCTACGATGTCAGTGATACCGTAAATGCAGCAATCAAACAAGCAGAGACCGCGTACGTGTTAATGACAGGCACAGTAAGCTAAAGGACGATTGATATTCTCGAGCATGGAATGAAAGAAGAGTATATTTCAGTTCTAAACCGAATGCTTCCTTTCAGTGATACTATTCCTGTCTAGTTACACGAATAGATACACAGACTCAGTCACCGACTAACTGAAATGATGTTCACCGAAAATTGCCATTGAAACAACTTAAATTCTGATTCTGATTTTTCCTTCAGTGACACGAGCATACTCGCAAAAAGGAATTCCGAGTTTTAGTCAAAATGCTCTACTACTAAGCTACTTGAGACTTGTCGGAACTAAGCCATTAAACTTTGCCTAAATTTTAGTTATACAGTTAAAGTAAAACAGCTGTCAACTTACGCAGATCAACAGCTTCAAAATATGCTTTGAAACCTTTGTTTTCTCGCACACCATCAGGGTTGGCACGAAACTTCATCCACATGTGAGGCCCAGTTGAATAAACATCAAAAGGCATCTTTTTTCCACAGTAAATACCAAGAAGTCCACCCGTAGACCAGGGGCCATTGTGAATCTCAACATAGTCCATGTCAAATATTTGTTTACAGAAATTGTCCTTAGTAGCGACAACGCTTTTGCCAAGTTCAAAATCTGTAAATGTTAATTTCACTCTCCTTCCATCGGGCACATAAATCGACCAAACACAGGTTGTATAATCCTGGTATGGGACAGGATAGTCGGGGGTGAATATTGTACCAGAAGAACTTCTACCAACAATTTTACTTATTCTTTCTTCCCTTGATGGACGGCATATCAAACTGGCTTTTTCTGCAACAACGTTTAAGAAAAACAAATTTCTTTACATGTACTTTATAAAGCTGCAGAGTTCGAATCTCGTTCAAGGCTATTTTTTTTTCAGTTTTTTGACTTTTGCAATTGTTAACATGCATGTGTACTTAACTGTGGCCTTTCAATAAAAGCTTTCACCTGCAGTTCAAATATACGATATCAACAAAGCATGCACGGATTGGTCCTTTGTCACTACTTCGGATGTAAAAAGATTGTCTGTTCACCGACCTTATCGGTAAGTTTGTCTTAAATTCGTCAAGATCATGAGCAAAAAATTAACCATGGGGGATAAGAACGTGCCAAAATGCAAGGGGGTGGGGATGGGAAAGCTACTGGCTGCTGGTGTAAGGCCCGGCCTGATCAATACGGACCATCATCATAATGTGTATCTTAAGATCAATTTATTTATTAACTTTACTGACCGATGTTTTGAGGCTCTTATTTCTAAGTTTAACGTTTGCACATGTGAATCTTGTTTCATTTTTGTGTCAAGGAAATGAAAGTATTCTACCAGTGAACTTTTAACAGAGGAGCAACGTATCCATTACACATAAAGCCGTAATACGTAGCGGTTATTCCCTGCTGGGTGTTTATTTAACGTGTCAACACCATACACTGTATGCATTCAGCATCGACCATCTTTCCTCATTTTACTCTCCTGACCTACCTAGTAAGCTTCCGGCTAAGTTAGAGTAGAAGTAACTGGCGTAGCGCTTATTGCGTTAGTAACTTCTTTGGCAAGTCCAGATGCGAGACGTATTTTATATACATGTACCCGCCCAAAAAATATGGAAGTCGATGAAATTGCTAGTCGATCACAATCGATGGGAATCGAAAATAATCCATGACAATCGATGGTAATCCATGATAATCGATGACAATCGATGACAATCGATGGCAATCGAAAAACATAAAATTTTTGTTCATCGATTGGTCTTCGATTATGTTTCATCGATTGATCAGGCCGGTTATAAGGCTCTGCACTGACATTGTATTAGTGAAGTCATGGGATTGAGATTGAAATCCCAAATTGAAGCCTGCATTTTGCGCCTTTATTTCTGAACTCCTTAGGTCATATACACGACTGCATTGATTTTCTTGCACAAAAATCCCGGATGCATATTTGGTGAAAGTGAAACTTTTGTTCTTTACACTTTGAAAATTATATGCAAACCACATTATGTGTTTAAAAACTACCCAGTAAATGTAGTACCTGTAGTTAATAGATGCTAAAGATTCTAATCATAGTTTATAGATGCTAAATGAAGTTTCTTCCCCAAGAACAATAAGCAAGGGAAATGGACAAATATTTTTCTCTCATCAATAGGTTTTAAAGCTGCATGATATTGTACTGTATATTGTAATATATTGCCTAGAAATTGACACTAAATGAGTGGTTACAGAAAACATCCATAACCAACCCATGGAGAGTTACTGAAAATTCCTGGGACGGAGGCTCAAAAGCCAAAATTTCGAAAGGAAAGTATGATCCAAAACTGGAATTTCCAGAGGTATGAAGGGGAATGGGGCAAGAGGGGAAGAGGGAAGGGGAGAGAGGGGAAGGGGAAGGGGGAAGGGGAA